TTGTTATTAGGTTAGGTATTTAAATTTTCCTTCCTCTTTGTCTTTATATTTAGGTTTCTTTACTTTTATTTTAATTTCTGTATTTATCCCTTTCTTCTTCTCCATACTCAAAATTATCTCATCCTTGTTTGAGGCTAATCTATTCATGTACATACATACATACATCTTATTCCTAAACTGCTGCTTAGCACGTTTCTTTAATTCACTATCAATATTAAAGCATACATTTAGGAGGCATTTCCGCCCCAACCATGTAAATACATGTATGGCATTGGTATTGGTGTGACTTTTGAATAGATTTTTTCGCTCTATTTTAAACTAATTTGAAATTTTAAAAATTGCCTGCACATCAGCATCAAAATACCTTCCTAATGATATATAATTGTTTATACCTTAGAAGTACAGTTTAGCCGTAAAAGGGGTGTAAAGGAAACATGATTGCCTATTTATATAATTGATGTCTTGTATATAAAAAATAGGTGCGTTCGACAAGTCAAAAATTTGTAATTATTTTTTCCAAATTTTTACTGGATGGCGTTCGATAACGACAAAAAATTATCCAACACACAAAAATTGAGAGAGCAAGCGTTCATTTTGATGCAAGAGAAGCGTTCATTTTGTACTGGCAAAATTTTAGTCAGCAAAAATTATCCAACACACAAAAATTGAGAGAGCAAGCGTTCATTTTGATGCAAGAGAAGCGTTCATTTTGTACTGGCAAAATTTTAGTCAGCAAAAATTATCCAACACGAAAACATATGATCACAAAACAAATGGTTGCATTTTTTGTAAACACACAAAATCGCATTTTCCGAGTTTTGGTATTTATATGCTTTTTGGCTGCCTGCTATGTGACTTTATGATAGCGCCAACTAGTTTTTACTTCTAGAAATGTTCCTGGCGAACACTGAACGTTCACTTTCCTTTTTTCTTCTATGGAGGCAACATGAATTTCAGTTTGTTTACAAATAAAACATAAACAATGTCAGCTGGTGTGTCTTCTTCTTCCGGTTTTTGCAAGTAATGGCTAATTTCCTGTTCGTTTACTTTTTTGCTTTTTCATCTCTTTGGGAGAGAATTTTCGCTTACTCTCTTGATTTTGATTGTTAGCTGGTGTTGGCTAATTTTGTTAATTTTGTTTGTCTTGTGCAAATGAATATTTAACATTTTCAAGCGAAAAAACGCAAATGAAAATTGTGATTTTTGGCAATTTTTCTAAGGGGTCCCTAGGAAACCATAGCGGACCTAGGTGGTCGGGGGTTGCATATTTGTCAATGGCGGTTCATTTCCTCTCCAAAAAGGTGGGATAGAGGTGGCGCGCCCACCGCCCCTTTGACGAACGGCCATAATGGAAAGCCAACCCGTTTAATTAACTACAATATGCATATGTGCAATTATACATACATTTATATTTTTTATTATCACTGAGTTCTGAAAACTTAAAAGCAAATCATAATATAATATGTATATCAAATTAAAGGTAAGAACTTGCACTTTCTGAATAATATACATTTTTTTAGCATTGATTACGGACTTTTTCTAAAACAAGGTTGTTTTATTAAAAAAATTATGATATTTTTTTGTTTTATAATATTTTTGGCTTAAATATAAAAAAAAGCATACACATTACCTACACATACCTTTTATATCTACTTTACTTTTTAATTGCGGCAAATAATATTGATATAATTAAGATCAGCGTAAAAAGTACTAGCAATCTGCATTTTTAGTTTTCTATAGCTGAACGGTTGGTTATCTTGATGTATGTATGCCCCGTTCGAAACTGTTACTACGTTTATACGTAAGCTATTTGCAAATAAAAATAATTTGCAAATACCTAACTCACTGTTTATTCGATGGTGAAAAATTCTTTTTTAATATTGCCTGATTATAAAAAGGCAATAATATGACCATCGAAAAGGAAAATAAAGTAAAAAATTGCAACGTCTTGATTATAAAAAGGTAAGATGACCATCGAAAATTCATATTTATGTAAAATTAAGAAGAATTTAACTAACAATCCTAAATAATTTTATGGTTTCGTAAATTCAAAGCGTAAGGTACATGGTTTTCCGTCCGCTATGCATTATCGCAACACTGTATCTATCGACAGCCAACTCACATTCCCACGACAGCCGGTTCTACGTACCGGAATGACTCGGGTTTCACCCGACCAAGGGCTGTTGTTTCGGCGATCTAACCCCGTTTAAGTCGGCGCAGTATCTCAGAAGTTGTCCGTCCATAGGGCAACATTCACTACGCATTCTCCTACTCAGGGCTGGCATCGAGTCAAACCCTGGGCCAGAAATATACACCTGCTGTGTATGCCGAAGACGATTACACCACAACTCCACCTCAGTCAAGTGTAATGCCTGCGAGGGGTGGAGTCACCTCAGGGTCTGCTCGGGACTACGGACACACAGACAGTGGACCACGTCGTACGTGGCCCCCTGTTGCTCAAACAGAGCAGCCTCCACGCAAACAATAGTCCGCCCGTGCAGCCCCACACACTCACACAGCAACCACACACAGTCGCCACAACACAACAACATAATAACAACACAGACCTTACCACAGCCACCACAGACCACATAACACACACAACCGCACCACCACACACACGCCGCCGCCAACAACTCCTGGTTCCCCCTACAATC